CCCTCCCCCACGGGGCCCACCCCCGGCCGGGCCCACCGACACCGGACAGGCAGCACCGCTGCAGCCGTCCTGCTCCATCCCCCAGCGTCCCCAAGCACCCCGGGACAGAGAGGCAGCGTCCTGCCCTGCTGCGGAGCCCAGGGCGTGAGCTGGAGGTGCCGGCAAGGACAGGTTCCCGTAGGCAGGGCTTATTGAAATGAATTTAATATCTCATGTTGCAGCAAAATTAAAAATATACAAAAAGTTTGTGGTATACAAAAAAGTCTCGGTACGGACCCTGGCCTCCTGCTCACCCCCCCGCCCACGCCGAGGGTCCCAGAGAAGAAGGTGGCACACAGAGTATTTACAGTACGTGACAGCGGCCGCCAGGTCCCAGCACCGGGGGGGGGGCAGGGATGTGGCTGAGACCCCCTGACAGTCCCCGCCGGGAACGAACAGCCCCGGCCGAGGGCAAACGGGGCCAGGCCCTGGCCCAAACCTCTCCCTGCTCCCTGAAGCCGGGGTGGCCTCACTGCTACCCCCGGGGGTGACACCCCCCGGGGGTCCACCCCCCAGGGACAAGGACCCCCGTCCCCCATGGGAGCTCAAGCACCCCTGGAGCTGCCCCCATCCCACAGCATCTGGCTCAGCCCCGGGTCGTGCCTCCTCGCCACAGTCCCGGTGGGCAGGCGCAGCCCCGGGGCTGGGAGCGGGTCCCATGGCTGCCCTGTGCCCCCCCCACGCCGAGCAGGGCAGCACCACGCAGGCAGAGGCTCGGTGCTGCCTGCCAACGCAGATCCCCGCCCACCCATGCCGAGCAGGGCAGCACCACGCAGGCAGAGGCTCGGTGCTGCCTGCCACTGCCAAGATCCCTGCCCGGAGCAGCCCAGGGCTGAGGGTACCGTGGCTTGAGTGCATAGAAAAGTGTCCCTCTGTCCCACCGGCGCAGCTCCGGGGTCCCCACGCAAACCCCGGGGGTGAAGGGCATGGAGGGGGGGTGCAGATCGCCCCAACCAGCAGCTCCTCTCTGCCTTTCTGGGGACAGGGAGAGGGGGTGGGGCTGGGGGGAGCCAGAGGAGCCACCCCACACCGGTCCCTGGTCCCCATGCAGCCCATCCCTGGCGGCTTCCCAGCTCCCTGTGTGGGACCCGGCGAGGAGCCGCCGC